TATCTCGTCCTACGAGACTGCCTTGACGGCGTGGCCTGATCTCACTCTTCCAAGCCCAGGGTCGGGCTGCTAAGATGGAGTTGATCTGAAGTAATGTCAGTATCCAATACGACAACATAACGGCGTTAAGAAAGGAAAAGAGGTTAAAGGGAATATCTTCTCGTCCTTATGCGAGTATGGGGCTATATCGGAGTCTTCTTAGGGCAACCAGTGCTTAAATCGAAGTGTTCTTGATATCGTGGTTTCGGTATGGGTGTTAGGGAGTGAAATGATTCATGATGGGATTGAAATAGTAGACAAGCTCAAGTTTATGATCTGAAGTACAACGCCCAAGCCCCCGGGCAGTGGAGGACTGTATATGTTCTTAAACGGCATGGTAGGTATATCAAGGAAAGATACCAAAGAATGGTGTCAGTGTACCAGGCGACGGTTGAGTCAGGGCTGACAACGGCAAGTGATGTGTGAAGCCCGTGGCATGAGGAATGGGCTGTCTTGAATAGGGTCAAGATCCTACCTATGTGACAAGTTCAAACAAGCGAAAGAGTCTAGAAGAGTCACTGGAATGAGAGCTGAGTGTTGCGAATGCTGTGGTCGTACAATGAGGCAGCCTGGTAGCTAAGGCTATACAATATAGGAGTACTCAAGTCGGAATAGTAAAGAGATATCACTAGGTGTCGGATATTGATTATAGGTCTTGAGAGTAGAAGGGAGAGTTGTTGTGAGGAATATTGTGATAGATGCGTTAGCCAAAACAAATGTGGGCTCGATCATCTGTGAATACACGTTGATTCGAAGAGCGTTGTAACTGCCAACTCCTGTATTTTAAGAGACGATGATGCTTGCTGGATAATTCGCCTCCACGCCTTCACGAAACCAAGTCATGCTAGGTAATCGCTACTTGGAAAAGATGTGGCTTCATGTTGTAAGGGACATCCGTGAATTGTTTAATCGCAGGTGTTCAGAGTCGTTTGCCCCACTTTGGAAGTACGAGGTTCACGTCACCGCTAGACGATGCGGTATACTGACTGTGGAATTCCTAAGTCTGTTCAGCTCTGACAATTTATATTTTCCGTCTTGTCAAGTCATCATCTAGATGAGAGAACTTAGTAAGCTAGAGAAGTGTTGGCCTCTGTTTCAACGCCGGATGACGAGGGATACGTTGTATATCTAGTATAAACCCGCTAGGCCTGACGATATTAGCACGGGGGAGATGCGTTGGAGGCTATGGTGTATATATAATATCTATAACCCCAACGCATCATACTGGCCCTCGGCGTAAGAGTTACTAGCTTCTGGGTGAATCAAGGGTTCCTGCTTCGTAGGCTTACTCGTCGTGTCTTTACTCTTAGTCTTAGTGTGTCCACTCTGGACTTTACTCCTAAGAGCATGCCCATTTGACTTCTTCCTCTCCTTTTTCTTCTCCTCGGTATCTACGTCAGCCATATGGTACTTCTTACATCGGCGCACTTCTTTCTTCCCTAGCACCCAAGGTCGACTGAGGACGTCCCGTCGAAAGTCGCAGATCTTGTTCCAGAATTGAACTTCTTGGTTCGAAGACTTCATCCTCTGCAGTTTTTGGACCTTGATCTGCTTCTGATCTCGGAAGATTGTCGTGCTACCCTTGACTTCGACGACCATGCCCACATCGATATCCGAATGCGCGTCTGGAGGAGGAGCGGTTATGGCTGTGGCCGTAGCTGTAGCTGTAGCAGCTTCACCGCCTACTTCATTCTTATGGCGGCTGTCGACTGGTTTCGGGATGTCTAGACAGCATTCGATGCATTCGCCAGTGCTATCGTCGACGGTGTAGACGCGACGGCCATAGTACTCGTCGATCGCAACGACGACCCCAACAACTCGAACCCATCGGATAGGGTGGTTTAGGGAGAAGAACACATTGTCGCCTATGGCGCGATAAGCTCCGGATCGTCTTCTTAACGGCTTTACATGTCTAAATACCTTCAAAGCCAGGTCGGCTTTCGAGATGGTGGATATCGGTAGCGCGCAGCGGACACCATTTGTTTATCGTCGAAGACAAGTGGAAACAATAGGCAGGATAGTACACGAGCGATTCCGCACTTGTCATCGCATTTTGTAGGCGAAATAGATTGCCAAAAGCAATACTGGCGAGCCTGGCGCCGTATGTCTCAAAAGTTGAAGTTGAAGTTGAAGGGATCGACTGAGTTGGCGCGACAACGCGCAAAGCTTTAAGATTGTTAGGACAAACATTGAAGTTCTGCGACGCCCCGCTTATTACATCACATACTACATGTAAGCCCACATGTGCAGAAGGCACGATATATGTTCAACTAGCCTATTATAGCTCCCCCTTTTTGGAGTGCCCCTATTAAGGAGTACGTATGTACATGTAGATATTGGGCCCTTTGTTATACGTAATACAACACTGAATGTTAGGATGTATTTGTTATAGTAACTACCTCCTAAATAGTAAAAGCAGAGCAACTAATGCATACCTATCCTAAGAATGTCCTCTGCTTGCCCCGATCCCGTAGACGCCGTGAAAATCAACTAGACTCCCTATCTCACTTCTTCCTCCCCTTCTTCAATTTCGCGGCGGCAGCTTGGAAGGCTTCTTCCGAGGGCTCTTCTTCTAGGGCTGCACGCTTCTTGCCCTTCTTATTGCTTGTGGTTGCACCGTACTTAGCTGCCAGGTTGTCAATAAAGTTGGTTCGACCCTGCTGGTTGCGGCGGATGAGTGCCGCTAGGTCGTCTTCGGACGATCCCTTCTTGGCCTTGCCCTCTTTCTTATTCTTGTTACCGAACAACTTGTCGTGCACTCCTAATTCCTTGGCGTACTCCTCAGCCTCGGTGCTCTCCTCTTGCGCAGCCTTGGCTCGGGCTTCCTTAGATTTCTTGCTCTCCTTGGTATATGCCTTGAACGGGCGTACGTCCTTGTTGGCGATTGCCTCGTCGATGATTGCGCGGAATCTCTTGTCGTCTTCGAGGACATCGCTGAGCATGACCGACTCGTAGAGCTTGTCCATGTTGCCCTTGTGTTCTTCGTAGGCGATTAAGATGTCATCCTTCTCCTCATCGGAACCTTTGTATTGCTTGGCGAATTTCTCGATCGCATCAGTAGTAACTGCATCGCGGTACTGCTCTCGGTAGAAATCTGACCAGCTAAAGCCGTCCGAGTCGACGATGGACTCGGAGGTCGAGCCGGTCTCATCGTAGCGCTTGCGTCTTGCTGGATCGGACAGTACAGCGTATGCAAAGGCTATAGACTGAAAAATCTCATGTGCCGTTTGTTTCTGGTCCTCAGAGACCTTGTCTGAGAGATGAGATGTGTTAGAATTGCAGAACAAGGCTGCCGCGTGCGGCGTGTATCTTATAGAGCTTACCTGGATGATTCTTGAGGGCGAGCTTTCGATAGGCCGACTTGATTTGGCCCTCATTGGCGGTGCGATCTAAGCCAAGGACCTCATAGGGGTCGATGGTAGGCGGCTCACCCGCAAGAAGGTCGTCTGAATCGCTCATGGTGAACAGAGACTGACGAATAGGTTAGAAGTTGTGAAGCTTAAAAGTTATGTCTTCTATCGAACCGAGCGTGTTAGATAAATGAGCGTGATCGCGTTACACGCGTTTCTTGTCTACGCGGTTTATCGATAAGGATATGTCAATTAATTGTTATAGCGGGGTATTCAGCCCACTCCACCGACTCCACATCTTGACTACCCCCTAACACTTGCTGACAGCAGCTACTGGGACTGATGCCGATTTAATTACATCCTTTTCCACAACCTATCGAGCAAGCTTCGTCAGAAAATGACCGGAAGCACTCTTCGACAAGCTAGTAACGTGGAGGCGGGAGATCATCTGTCATACATGAAACTTGCCCTATCTCTAGCCACCAAATCCCCGCCAAAGCCCACCAACTATCGAGTCGGAGCTGTCGTGGTAGATATAGCCACGAATGAGATATTAACGACTGGCTACACACTAGAGCTTCCGGGAAACACCCACGCGGAACAATGCTGTTTTGAGAAGCTTGCGGAGCAGAATGGTATCACAACGAGCCGCCTGAGTGAAGTGCTGCCAGACGAGATCGCACTCTACACCACAATAGAGCCGTGCTCTCAAAGGCTTAGCGGGAACCTACCTTGCGTGGATAGAATATTAGCTATAGGGAATAAGATCAAAACGGTCTACGTTGGAGTTTATGAGCCGGAAAAATTCGTCAGCGACAATTCAAGCAAGCAGAAGCTCAAGGATGCAAGCATTGAGTTCGTTCACGTTGCCGGACTCGAGAAGGACATCCTAGAAGTCGCCACGGCAGGCCACGAGAAACCTAGCTGACTAGGTACGGAGCGATAGTTCAAATTCATGCCATCAAGCCTCGTAATAGTACTTTTGAATGGACATTTGATGTTGCCTTGAGCTCTGGCCCAACGCATGCTTCCTACCCTTTTGGAGATACCAGCTGGTGCTATTGAGGCGGGTGCATAGTAGCACAGTATCACTGTTAAAAGGAAAGGAACGGCTCCTCCTGACGAGCATGGTGATATACATGTATAGATGGTCGTAGCGTTATGGATGTATATTATCATAGTAACTACGACGACAGCCCCTGAACCCCTGATCCCCTGATCAATAGCTTCGAGGTAGACATGCTCCTCACTCATAGATGCAAGATACCATAGACTTAAGATTGCACAAGGCCCAAACCTTAGTCCAGATCTGCATCCCCATGTCTTAAGATTAGCAGAGAAGACTCCTTCAGAACAACCCAAAATTGATGAGCCTTTGGCCTACTAGGAGAGCCTTATTCAAACGGCTACCTATTCTAATTTTACAGCTTCTATGGCTTTTTCAACATCCAGTTATGCGTGTGTGTATATATGAAAATAATAGATATCAGGGGCAAAGATTCAGGTAGTAAAGACATAGCGTAGAGGCAAAATATTTTGGGAAAAGGACAAAAAGTTTTGATCTCAAAGCTGAGTTGAAATATCTCTATTGTAGAGATGCATCAGGAATTGAGCCCGATGCGGGGGTCGAACCTAGGCGACAATGTCAGAACGGTTAGATGCTAAGTTAAGGTAGCATGGCAAACTTACCCGCAACCTTGAGATTAAGAGTCTCACGCTCTACCGATTGAGCTAACCGGGCTATGACAAATTGACTGAACTTGTAGTATATATCCTGTGCTGTTGAGCGCCGATGTTGTGCCGGAACTGCCCTCTAAAATTTTGGCGGCGCCAGGTGGGTCAGAGACTCAGAGTAATATCATGAGAGCTTAGAGGCTCCCCTCCAAAGTAACGTATGCACTCGATTAGCTACCATAAAGGAAACGATTTGCCATTCTACTCTCCGCATCTACCTTAGAACGACCATCGGGACAGTATCTAGACAAAAAGCTAAAGCAAATGTGTACTTCGCCTTCTATCGGGATTTAAGCACTACAGCATTCACACTCGCCAAGTTCAATGGACTACGGTAGATGAATAGTAACCTCAATCGTACTACCTTGGTCACGCTCGAGATCATACATCAGGCTCTCTGAGATAGCTTGGCGGTAAGGAATGGTAGGGCTGGCTACCTATAGGCAACCATCTTGAATGGATTGGCCCATCCGACGCACTGTCTAAGTAAGATTTCCTGTTCTACAAGTAGAAGTTCATTGTGCATGTTACGTGTTGAGATTTAGCAAGGTGACAAACTGGGTGTCTACAGTCTGGCTGGATGAAACTTAGACTTATAGTGGCTAGGTATAGATCCAGATTGACTACTGAAGCAAGGAATGACTACCTACCTATCTACCTATAGAGAACACATTTGAGTCTCTGCCATACCTCTCTAAGAAGCTTTATATATCACCTTCCTGTGGTTTATCTATCATTGGCTTGCTAAGAGTAAAATTGTCTCCTTCCTGACTCCGTGATGTCGGCATCGGAACCGTCCCCTCAGGAATCTCGAATAGATTGACATATTACAGTTCCTATTCCGCTTGAACGAGACAAGATATTAGCGCTCATATAGGGGGATACTATGATATGTACATATTAAATGATGTGGGAAGAACATCTCAAATATACCTACATATGTAAGTAGCCTCGATACCTACTATAAGCTAAATCGAGAGCCGTCGTGTACAACGCTACTGGACCGCAACATAGCTACGATGAGCTAACAAACACCTCCACACGAGTGCTCAATTGCTACTTCAAAAGTTCTCATTTACTATAGGGATCGACTCATCTCGGCAATCTCGGCTAAGAATTGACCATTATAGAGGTCTTTGTGCCTTTATTGGCAGACCAAGACCAGACTTGCGTCATTATTGATTATCTTAGGTAGCTCTGCTGAGGCTGTTACACCACGTCTAGGTCCGAACCTCTTCTATGAGTCACAACCCTCGTTTGCAGTGATGAGATGGGTAGTACAGAAGGCTGGGGGTGGCTTTCTTCCATCCAAAAAAACGAGATTTGTGTGTTTGTGTGCCTCAAAAGGAGGGTAGCTACTGCGTACCACCGCATCAAGTTCCGATCCAATGACAGTAACCTTGTGCATGCAGATGGTGTAACACACCGACGCACTTTTAGGGATTTTTTTATTATTATTATTCGAAACACACTCCCATCAACCGAAATGAGTGATGCTAATACGGTTTGTATACGGGTCTTTGGAATCTAATCAAGCTGACTTCTAGTAAGCATATACCTATCGCTATAACCTGTATGGCCTGGTGGCTGTGGGGACGACACCGTGGCTAGCGGGCCGACCCGATAGTATCGATCCAGCGTCCCCATGGGGCGACGTTAGGCTTGGGTTATACGACATTCTTTATCGGATAGCTTCCCGCCTTCAGTCTTATTACGGAGATGAGCTTCTAGTTTCTCGATGACGGCTAGGGGGATCGAAGGTGACCCAGACTCGAGAGATTTACGTGGCATTAGATTGCTTGATGTTTGATAGACATGGTGTGAGGCCTACTCTCTCCACCTGCCAATGAGAACCGACTTGAGGTGCTGCCTGAATATCGGGAACCTGCAAGAAGGAATGGTGCGGCTGCGTCGGCTCGAGGCTTGCATGAGGGTATTCAAGCCGACATGCAGCAAGTTAGTGGGCCAATGCGGCTGAAGTCCGTTTGTTCTTCATCACATAGCAGACAATTCCTATATTAAAATGCATTGAGTAGATAGCTCTGCCGTTTGTTGAACTATACGACCACTGGAATGTTGGGTATAATATACCCAATAGTAGCATGTATATGGTTCCGGAAGCACTCCTTCTTTTAGGCCAAGTAACCAGCCATCTTAGAGACTCCCGTTTACTCTCCTAACCAGAGCTCTGCCTTCATTTGTGATTACAAGGAATGGTTAATGGAGGGTGAAAATGCGATCAGAGATAAGAGACAACTAATAAGGTTGACTTGGAGGATCACACATAATTAATTTATTATTGAAGGCACATTATACATCATTGGGTCGTTACTCTCGTAGGGTGGCCATCTCTCCGCAAAAGCTGATCGAGGTGACCCATAAGTTGGTCGATTTGTTGACGTATGCATACAGTCGCAGTGAGCCTGACATTTGGTTGTCAAAAAGGACATGTCATTTTCGACATGTAGGCAGTACATGGAAGTACGTCTTTGTGCTGAATTTTCATAATACATAATTCACGCATTGCCTTGTTCTTTCGTCAACTTGACAAGCACTATTTGACTACGGGAGGATATGATGATAAGTTGACAGGTCCCGGAACTGATATTCTCTGCATGGCTACCCCTGTCTGTAAAAAGCAAATGCAAGACAACCGGCGGTGTAAGTTCACCCGAGGACAAGGATTGTCATAATCGTGCTGTTTGAATTTATAGGTATGCTTTTGTACCTATGTGATAAATGATATATGTTGTTTGGATGTTTCCTACCCACAAAGCAGGTATAATAGAATTAATCACGATTGAGCCTGGCAATCTACTTGTGTGTAAGTGCATGGGGTTGTCACTTTATTCACCTTTCATGCAGTTCGGTCCTGCGTATGTGTGTGCATACCTGTGCAGCACTCGGCTGAGCAAGAGAAAAGCCACGCAGGGAAAGGAATGACAGGGACATAAGCTGCGGCAGGGGTAGGTGAGCCCAGAGCCATGTGCGCGGTGTCTAAGACGCTAAATTAGGCCATAAACGGTTTAGCTGCTTGCCCGGGGGGTGGATGTCGTCTATTGCCGGTGTCCCAGAAGGTACTAAATGTGTGCACACCGCTTTCGAGCCTGGAACAAGAATAAGAAGAATAGAAAAGAAAAGCTGAGAATTGGAAGTGTGGTAACGACTTCCTTTTCTTATGCGGAGATCACCTGGTTTTTGGTCTTTTTGGGAAACGGGAAACTTCTGATGCGGGTAGTACGCGCTTTGTGAATGACAGCATGGATATTTTCGGTAGGTGTAACGGAAGTGACTTATAGGTACAGCCTACCCTAGGTACCTCTATCAATGCACCCGCACGTCTTGCTGGCAAGGTGGGCCTTGCTACTTTCCGTCCCCGTCAACCATTTCTGCTCCGTTCTTTGCTCAAGCTTCTATTTCTTATCATATCAACGTAACCCACTAGGACGCTCTTTTACGAGAACATCGTTTGAAGGCCCTTCTTCTTACCCACATGTACCTAAAAGGCTCCCGTTGTCTTCTAGCGTTTCCATACTTCTAGAACCTACAGACACCACCTAGGCCTCATCCACTCCGTTTGAGCGTTCGGCTTGTCTGATTAACTCATCTCGTTGCTGGTCATCTGTACCGACATAAAGGTCTAGCAAAGCTCGTTTGCTTTCACCCTCACCCTCACCCTCACCCTCACTAATACGGCCAATCGCCAAAACCAAACGCATCACCATCACGTCTAGTATGTAGCCAACCTAGCTGAATCAACCCTTCCTTGCAGTAGTCTTAGGCTTCCTTTACCTTTGGCTATCATTTCTTCTCGTCCACCTAGTTCCCTAGCATCAATCAGTTTTCACTACCAAACTTCATTGTCCCTTTGGCAATCGAGCCACAGGTGATTTCCTAACCCTGGCTTACATGTCCATCAACCTAGTCCGCACCAGGTTCTGCACATATATATATGATATAGTCCCCAGTCAAGGCATTCGGAGGATCCATCCGTACTTCCTCAACCACTGACACACTAGTCAATCACCAAGATCACTACCTTACACTATTTCACAGGCCAATCTCTTCACATATTGAGTAGACGCTCGTGTCAACTTTGACTGAACGCTACCTACAGAAGTATCGAGACTGGAATCTCTCAAGGATACTTGGAATCGTTGCCGAGACCTGTCCGCTTCGACAAATACTGAAGTATCGACCCCTATCGTTCGACCATTGCAGCTTGCCGGTCTATTCGTAAATAAACCTGATCTTAGCATCTCTCAAGATTCCGTCACCAACTTCGGTACGACTCTATCAATCTCACTTTTTTGATTATTTCCCAGAACCAATATGGCGGACCGTGGCAGAGGGAATTTCCGGGGCCGTGGTGACCGTGGTGGAGGACGAGGCGGTCCTCGCGGTGGCGGGCGTGGCGACGGACGTGGCGGCGGGCGTGGTGGTGGTAGTGCCACCTTTTCTGGAATGGGCCAAGGGGGCGACTACCGTGGCGGGCGCGGCGGTGGCGATGGTCGTGGCGGCCGGGGTAGAGGAGAGTATCGTGGTGGTGGCCGGGGTGGCCGAGGTGGAGGTGGAGGTGGCCGGAATAAGTTCGACGGAGAGCTAGAGGTTTTCAAGTAAGTCTACAGCTACTACGCCAACACTTCAATGCTGACAGAAATGTAGGCCAAACGCTGCACCTCAGCCAAACCCTAAAATAACCCAGCTAGAGGACAAGATCCTAAGCAACTTGGGGATGGCCAAAATGTCAACCCTCAAGATCTCGCCAGGCAAGGGCTCAGGACCCCCTACCGATGAGCGCCTACCTTGCAGGCCAGCGTTTGGAACTAAGGGTACAGAGGTGACCCTTTGGACTAACTATTTCGCGTTGGATGTCAAGACCCCTTCACTATATAAATACGCGCTGAAAGCGACTCTTAAAACAAAAGTGCCGCTCAAGAAGGGTGAAACGGCACGTGAGGCCAAGGGCATGAAACTCCAGACTGTCATCAAGAGGGCCTTGGATGA